GACATCTTTTTAGTTTTTAAAATAATATTAAAGAGTTTAGTAAGCCAAGAAACTCCCAAATCTCCTAAACATTTCTGTACTTCAATTGGGATACATCAGGTCCTACAGACTTTTTTTCTACCCTCGATTTTCTTTAAAGCCTCCTCAACTTCTTTTTACTAATGCGACTGTAAAAAATGAAATATTTTATTATTATTAAAGATATTAAGATCACTAAGGTTGATCGTATTTCAAAAGCTTCAATAAATAGTTTATCAAAATAACTCACCCACCAATGTTGAATATCTTTTTCTAAAATAAGCACTTTATAATTTTATAATTTTTATCTTTAATACACCTTACTTGAGTTAAATCTTTACTTTTCTTTTCTCTTTGTTTGGCTAGTTTATACATATATTTTTCATCCATCTTAGTATCTAATCTATTATAAAAATCATTAAAAACAAAATTTTTAGCATCAAAGATTGTTCTTTTAGACTCCCCGAGGGTCGTTTGATATTTTTCATGGTTCTCTAAACTTTTACATTTAAACAAATTTTTATAACATTTTATCTTTTCTCGCACATTATTATTCCACCACCAACTATTTTTATTTATAAAAACTTTTTCTTTTGATTCTTCAAACACACATTTTGCTACTTGTTTAATAGTGTTTGTTACTTTATCCCACATAACATTTGCTTCATCATGAACATCCAAAATTTTAAAATCTTGAATTTTACTCATAAAAATATTTCTACGGTGACGAGTCATAGTTTTTTTTATTTTACAACTTTTCATCTTAAAATCTAGAACTAATAAACGATGTCAGATACTTAAATCCTCACTTGGAATGACCTTACAATCTTTACAATTTCGACGATCTCTTCTTCTCATAAGAAAATAAGCAATTTGTGTTTTATTAGATCCACTCTTATAAGTAATAAGATGTCTATCCCTTTTCTTCAATAAAGTATTAGTAATAACAAAATCATATGCTAAAGTAAAATCTAAAATGACTCTACTTTCTTCATTAGTTACTCTAAAACTGTAGCCACCATGAGTATTTCTGAAATTTTCTATCACTCTATCGACATGTTCATTTAAATCTCTTCCAATAAAAATTCTTTCTTTAAGAGGTATTATTTATATTAAGTCTTCTAAGTCATTCCAGAACTTATCTTTAGACCCAACATCTAAACCTACTTGAGGAGCATAAGCACTTATAATATTAAAAATCTCACTATCAATGATAATTATTACTTTAAATTTATCCTAATTAAAAAAAATCATTACTATAAATTTAAAAATATATATGTTTTTAATAGAATGCACTAGTGAGGTTATCATTAATTAAAATTATTGCTTAGTTGATATCATGATTTCATATTCAAATTTGTTATGGAAATGCTGTAAGTTTATATTATTATATGAAATAAAATTATCATATTTATTTTATAAATATATAAGCTACCATATATTATTAAAGTTTGGGTAAAAATACAAACTTGTTAAGTATACTGTTCACATAAAATTAAAAAAAAAAAAGAAAAGAATTGTTAAGTATACTGTTCACATAAAATTAAAAAAAAGAAAAGAAAAAATGCAACAAAGAAAGTCATATTATCTTGAATATTAGTCTATGAAAACAAACAAAAAAATAAGTCACCTTACTTCCTCTCATGTTAATAAAAAAATATCATAAAAATGGAAAGGTGCGTTGAACAAGATACCAATAACTCATTACTTGGGCAACTCGTGTCAAAATCTAATGATAGTCTTCTCATACTGCCAAATAATTGCACTGAAGACAACGGATACAGTGTTTTTTATTCAGTTTTATTTGATGCGCTGTCCAAAAAATGAAAAATGATTTAGCTAACAATAAGGGACTAAACAGTTTTTAAATAATTAGTATCATAGTATAAATTATTATCCCGATTCACCAATCTGTTTGCCTATGGAGATTGTTTAGATCTAAATTATTAAAGTTTGAATCCTTTTGGGATGTTGGGTCCCATCTTGCATGTCATCCATGGATTCATACAACGTACAATCCTGAAGAGACCTGTGAAGAGGGTGAAAGAAGAGGATTGAGGTGTTCTCCAGGTCGGAACTCTCCATTTCTCCAATGATTCTCCTCCGGCAGGTCTAAGGAGATGATCTAATCTCTTACCAGAAAATAGAGAGTGGGAGGAAGAGAGAGAGATAATCTCTCACTATGTCACGATAAGTGCACATCACACTTGAGTATTGAAAGAAAAATAAAAATGTAGAGTTATATTCTACTTTCATAAATAAAATATTATGAATGTATGAAATGCTTAAAATACTTGAGCCTCAACTTATTGTGGTCCACCAAATTGTGCAGTGCTTTCCATGTGCATATTGATGACAACCACACCTCTGCCCCATCCTGAAAGAGGAAAAGTTTCTTTCTTTCTGAAGAAACAGGGCAACAATAAAGCATGATAATCCACAGTGGATATCTAAAGCAAATATTTCCTTCCTTTTCAAAGTGAGAAAGCAAACAAAACCCCCCCACCAAAGCTGACAGCTAAGTTTCACAAAGGTCCCACGGACTTAACTGGACTAGTATCAATGAAGGAACGATTATGGCACTGTTGGAACCAACTATTTGCTGTACTTCTGATAAGGGACACTTCATCTACGCAACTGAAGGTTTATACACGTATTCATAACAAGCAATCATGAGTGAATATTGCATGTTCAGTTATAACAAAAGTATACGAAGATAATGCTTAGGTATATGTGCTAATAGAACTGCAAGTTGATAATTGTCAATTTGGCACTCATTATAAAGGAAAAACTTCAGCTGAAATTGCAAGTTTAGACACAAAATTAATTCTTGATGAACATTAAGCTGAAGCTGAACATGTTCAACCATGAGTTTCAGGAAGTCAGTGATGGTTAGGATAAATCTCTAGATCATTGTGATATGAGCATGCGCAAAAAAAGGTATAAAATGCAACAGTTAGAACAACAGATGAATTTTATCTCGAAGAATTGGCAAATAAAAGAAATTCAACCAAAGGTAATATGGATAAAAGAAAAGTAAAATAGGCTTAAAATCTTCGACAATGCTCAAGAGAAATACATGAAAAGTGACTAATAAATATAGTTATAAGAAGTTCATTAAAACAGTAGAGCAGAGTTTGAAGTTAAGAGAAATATAATGAATAAGTTCTTTCTGGTCATTAAAACAAGATCGTTAGTTCATTTCTCAGAAAGCCACTGTAGCCTGCACTAAAACAGAAATATCTAACATTTACTAACATTTTGAATGCCCTCTAAGGGGCAAATGACATCTCATGACTTCATTGTGCTTTAAAATTAAAGAAAAACATGTAACAAAGGATGGAATTATGAAACTAAAACAACGACCAATGGCCCATCAAAGGTAGACTAAGCATGAGATAGCTATAAAGATCAATTAAAAGGTAGACTAAGCATGAGATAGCTATAAAGATCAGAGCGTCCAAGAACTGGACAAAAATGAATAAGTCAACAATTGATAGGATTGCTTGCAATTTTAGAATAGATGAAAGCCAGAAATCGACTGAAAACTCAATTTTAACAAATTATTGATATGAAACCACTTATTCGGGAGTATGGATCAAAAGTTAATGTTGAGCATGATTCCCTATTGATTAGCATTGATCTTCTTAATCCACATTCCCTAATTAGTAGTATCAAAACAAATGGTTTGGATAGGGTTAAATTGTAAAATGAACCGCTGACTATTCAGATATGGCCAATTTAGCCACAAAATTTTACAGTACGCATATTTAATCGCTTGACTATTGACAATTGATCTCAATTGATCCCTCAGGGACTAAAGTTGGATCAGTTTCGTATAATAGAGGAGCTAAATTGAGATTCACTATTGTAATAATTTTTAGGGCTATTTACACACAATTCTTATGTATTTACCATCCAAACTTTCATACTTACACACATAGCATTCAAATTTTTAATATTACATCAAAAATTGCACTATAACGGTATAACCACTTTTTAAAAGTGAAATACACCTTTTCATGCATAGGTTTTATGCACCAAAGTGCTATTTATGTAAATATAAAAGTTTAAGTGTGAAATATGTAAATACATAAGAATTTTGTACTAGGTATGTAAATTTTCCTAATTTTTACACAATGGACCATTTTGAATCAATTTTCTATAGTCAAGGGACTAAACTGGAGCACTGCAAAATTTTAGTTTAGGCACCATTCTGGGATTTATTCCTTTTGGTTGTGATATTACTTCATTTGGTTTGTGTCATTTATTGAGCTTTGTTTATTGACTTTAGGCACTCCTAAATAAAGGACCATGATGAAGATTATATTCGAACATCGGAAAACTTATACGTGCTATGAAATTTACCATTGTTTCTTACTCACAAATTACATCTGTTAATTAGCTCTTCTTCTCTCTATCACGATTGTGCTCATCAAGTTCAACATAAAATCAACACAAGATTGATATTCAGGCTCTAATTGAGAACTGATTTCTCTCCCAGAAGCTCCAAATATGAATAAATTCAGCGGGAAAGTTGATCAATGTGATGTTGTAGCAAATATTACAGCAACTCCTATCTCTGAATTTATATACACTTATTTTCTATCAAGATACACAAAATTCATGTTCTATTTCCACGAAACTTGGTCTAAACGGTAATTCAAATGCTCTGAAGAATTTACGACTAAGAAAATATCTGAAATATTGAAAGCTGATAGTAAAGAGAGAATATGATTATAGCCATCGTAAGATTATACAAAAAAATAAAAAATAAAATGCAACTAACAAAACTTCTGAAAGGTGAGTAACTGAAAACAGCCACAGTTCATTCACACCGGACAAGAACAAAATTTTCACAAAAATGGTCTTCATGGTGACAAAAATCTAACGCTTATTCACAAGCAGAAAAAATTCAAACATACTCGATGCTAATGAGAAATAGCACAACTGGACAATAAACGCAACATAAGAACGTTGACCTTATTGTTTGAAATAGAAAATATTTTCCAAACCATTACTCGAGAAACTTATGAATGGTAATTAAACATCCTTTTTCCACATAAGAGAAATAAAACATCTCACTCCGCAACATCTGGCATATATATGGAAGGATCCTCTGGATGGTAATAATGCATCTCAGTCCACATCATTTCCCTAATCATCTCTTCTCCCAAGTCTTCATCAACCTCAATGTCGACGGGGACATCAGCCGGAGGATTGCAGCTTGGATCATAAAGAGGAGACATGTAAGGATGCTGAAGTGCCTCAATAACACTGATCCTTCTAGAGGGATCAAAGACCAGCATCTTTTGAAGGAGATCAATGGCTAAGGGATCTGCGTGGGGATAAAGAGAAGTGAAAGATATGCCTGGCGTGTACGGAAGTGATTTGATGTATTTTCGAGCCTTAGAATTATCGATAAAAGAAAGATCAGAATCATTCATGGTGCCCAAGACATTTACGATGAGCTTGAGCTGGTTTAGGCATTCGGATCCGGGGAAAATAGGTTTGCGGCCGAGCAACTCAGCGAAGATGCAGCCCACGGACCATACATCTATCGATGTTCCATAATTATCACAACAAAGAAGAAGCTCGGGGGCTCGATACCAACGGGTGACGACATACTCAGTCATGAACTGACCTTTCCCGTTGCTTGTTCGAGCCAGACCAAAGTCACAAATCTTGAGGTCACAGTTTGCATTGATCAAGAGGTTTCCGGGCTTCAGGTCTCGATGCAGTATATTTGCTGAATGAAGATATTTCAGTCCACGAAGCAACTAAGAATATGATAAAAAATATTCCAGTCATTTTGGGTGTCAGCTTGAGTATAAAAAAGAGTTAAATTTTTTTTATCTATAATGAAAGAAAGCTAGTAGTAAAATTAACATATTTTCATTTTCCTGGAAAAAAAAATTAAAATAAAACCTAGTATTGAGCAAGGAGAAAAAATTTAATAGTCATAGTACTAGAATTTTAAGTTCACATAAGGTATCTATAAAATAATCGCTGCAGCAATTCCATCGTGCTAGTGAAACAGGAAGAAAATTTTCATTTGGAGAGCATATTTTACTGGTAATTTCATTAACAATGGTCAAACATAGGTTCCACGTGTAAAAGCAAACCATGAAGAGTAAACAAGAAACCTATAGGGATATTGGAACCATAAACAAAGAATATGGTCATGATATCTACTCAGTAGATCATGACAAAATCAATAAAGATTTCATGATTCCATTATTATCTCTCCCGTACTCTGGCCTATTCAGTTATATTAAATAGTTGGCCCAATACCTACTTTTTATCAACAGCTGTAGACATGGAAAAGCACTTCTTCAGTTTATTATAGTTTAACTAAATCAAACTAATAGAAATGTATTGGTGAAGGCAAGTTCTAAGATAAACCATCCTAATTAATATAAAAAAAATTACATACCGAGCACACATATCTTATGACACGTGTGTGGTTTTACTATTTTCCTGGTTATTGTTTCTACTATTGTTTATAATTATTGCTGCTATCAACTATTGCGATTGCTCACTGAAGTTTGACATAGAAGTTGTCATATAACTTTTAGAAGAAACAAGTAATATAACATAAATAACTAGCCAAATGCTACAGAAGATACGAATGGTTATCAAGAAACAAATGTATCTTTAAAGAGTGAAATAAACAAATAAATACAACAGAGGTTGAAGATTAATACAATACTACAAGCTATGCCAAGAGGGCAAATATTAACATACGAGTTATAGTTTTTTATAACTTATAAAACATTTGAGATACTTAAAAATAAAAATGGGAGGTTTGAATGCTTTAATCAAGCTAAATGAAGCAAGGATAATAAAACCGTAATTAAATTGAATTCATAAATAAAACTATTCTGAAATGTTATTAAATGAATTATGAAAGAAGAGTGTTTAGGAATGACAATTTTTTAGGAAATATACGAAAAGGGATTTGCAACTTTAGGATTCTTAACTTGAAATGATATCGATAAATTGCTATAAAATATGCTCCAAGACTAATCCATTATATGAAATACCCATGATAAGCAAGTTAGGACTTTGAATTCCCACGTATTAAATTTTAGAATTTCTGGCAGTTGAAGCTTTCAAAAAAAAAACAAGTTCTTAAGTTTAATTACACAGTTGAGTGGTACCAAAGAAGACTATCGATTGAGGAATCTTGCATGTATTCTACTTAAGCTTATAGGATAATAATTGAACTCTTCCTATAAAGAATAAGAAGACTCGTGATGGTGACATGAGTCAAAATCAATGAGTATTGGGACAATCAAGTTGGTGTGTGGTTGTGTTTGTGTTAGAGGATGTGTGGAGGTGGTGGTTGGTGTGTGGTTGTGTTTGTATTAGAGGATGTATTGGTGGATGTTTGGAGGTGGTGGTTGGTGTGTGGTTGCGTTTTTGTTAGAAGATGTGTTGGTGGATGTGGGGTTTATCTTTACCTTTAATGTTGGAGTGAGAATTTGAGAAATGGTTGAAAGAGGATGCTTGATTTCTTGATAATAATGTTTTGAGTGCCTTGTATCTAATTGCATCAAATGAAAAATAAGGGGTGGGGTTTTATCTATACCGTTGATGTTTGAGTGAGAATTTGAGAAATGACTGAAAGAGGGTGGGTGCATGATTTGTTGATAGCAATATTTCGGGTGTCTGTATGTAGTAGCTTCAAATGAAAAATATAGGGTAGGGTTTTATCTTTACCTTTGATGTTTTGAGTGAGAATTTGAGAATGACTGAAAGAGGATGATTGATTTGTTGATAATAATGTTTTGAGTGCCTTGTATCTAACTGCATCAAATGAAAAACATGCGGTGGGGTTTTATCTATACCGTTGATGTTTGAGTGAGAATTTGAGAAATGGCTGAAAGAGGGTGGGTGCACGATTTGTTGATAGCAATGTTTCAGGTGTCTGTATGTAGTAGCTTCAAATGAAAAATATAGGGCAGGGTTTTATCTTTACCTATGATGTTTGAGTGAGAATTTGAGAAATGACTGAAAGAGGGTGTTTGATTTGTTGATAGCAATGTTTCGGGTGTCCTGTATGTAGTAAGCCTCAAATGAAAAATACGGGGTCGGCTTTCTCTTTACCTTTGATGTTTGAGTGAGAATTTGAGAAATGACTGAAAGGGGGTGCTTAATTTGTTGATAGCAATGTTTCAAGTGTCATCTATGTAACTGCATCAAATGAAAAATTAGGAAGTTTAGAGACCTCCAAATATGTTATCACTGGTATTTAACCACTTTTGTTCATGCAGGAAAACCAAATTGATCACCCCATCAATATAGTCAATTTCATTGTTCTTACGTCGCATCATAGACAATTGTTACGTACTCAAGAATTTGGTCAAGCAGTTATCTACTGGTGGTACCCATCAACTAACAAAAGATTGCTTTGAATTCCCCAAGAATGCAAGTAGTCTACAACTCTCATCAAAATTTTAATTGGCATTATGATGAGACCAGTCGAGATGATGTTGATGCCAAAAAGAGGACTATCAAGTGGATTTATGATGCCACTCATGGGCTCCGAGACCAACAACATTGTTGTTGAGATAAGTCGAGGATATAGAGGGAACTCGAGAATAAGACTCGTGAAATTATAAAGAGCAATATGTCAAATACTAAAACAAATCTAAGAGTTGAAGATTTGAGCTAACATAAAACCCAAGAAGATGGTTGACCGCATAATTATGATGATAAGGCATCACTTTACAATTGTAACACTACTGGTTGGCATTATAACTAGTCACTTTCTTATTTAAAGTCATAATTTTCTATAATAGATGTACAACATAGGTTGTGTGACATAGTACATTATATGTCGAAGATGTTATAATAGATTTGCTCTATAATTATAAAAGGAAGTTTGATAAGAGATGAGTTTTTTTATTATAGTCTAAGATGCCTTCTTCTTTGGGAGAGAGTTATTAATGTGCCTTGAATCTTAAGACTTAAGAAAGAGTGCGGAGTTAGAGAGCAAGAGAGAAGGGATAAAGGAAAAGCTTCTTCCTCCTTATGTGTTTAGTTTCTTACTCCACATTAAATCCCATAATCTAAACCTCATAATCTAAGATGGTTATTTCTTTTTATAATGATTCCTTTGAGTATGTTTGTGCGCATTCGATTCTTCTATAAAATTTGAGCCAATGTATAAGACCATTAGTGGTGTATATTGAATCCTTAGAAATAGAAAACCTGAATACACCTAATCCACCTCAAACAGACTCAGAGCAAAAGGCAAGGGTTCACCCAGTTGCATCTCGTAAGAATTTTGATACAACACACACCAGAACTAAGAAAGATCATGAACTGCAACTGCATAATGTAGCAAACATCCTTCCACCGGGTACAGCCAAGGTAGCCCGAGGCAAGTCTTAGATTTCAAATGAGAAGATCCAACTTTCCCTCCTCATACTCAATTTCATGATCAAACCATTGTACAACAATCAAAGAGGATTACAGTCCTAGCCCACTTGAAAAAGTCACTAACTTTTCCCCGCATCTACAATACTATTATGATGCCCTAGCCTTTCACGTTAAGATCATCCTCCTTGAGATGGAGCTTCCATATGTGTGAGGTTCATACTCAACAACTCTTCAAAAGTGGAGAATGCCTAGCTCTGCCTGAAGAAACTCAAGAGTTTATAGTAGTTGAGGATGCAACCTTATTGGAATCCTGAATTGTATCAAGCCTATATAGCATATGCTCATAATCATTTGTTCAATCGCGGGCCTTCAAAGTAGACCACTTTATCCGTTTTCTCTATCTTCCTATAATATCATAATGCCATTGAGTTGGCAAGTTCAAGCCCACTTTGGAAGGCCCTTCTATCAGAACTTTTATATGAAGATCGAGCTTATATCTTGGTTGAGTGAGAAAGCACATCCTATGCCTCCTATCAATGGGTGATATTTGAAGAAATACTATGTTTAAGCAACAATATTTCCCCTAGATTCACTAGTTATTAATCAAGTGTGAGCTAAACTTTGAAAACCAGTTAATATCTCATACACAATATCTTGGATGAACTCACCGCCTAGTTTCACTCTCCTCATATCAAACGGGGTTTAAATAATCAAAATCAAAGATTAGTAAAAATCAATTACTATAAATATCACATCAGTGTCACCTTAAAGGAGTCATTACTTGAGATAACCTATAGACATAAATATATACCCTAAGTGTGATTCAATCATCTTAGTAGACAAGATGGACCACCTAGTGAGACCAAGAAATCATAATCTTCATATGCCCAAGGAGACATCCTTTTCTCCTCAACTTGAATACACCAATTGGGTCAGGGCCATTGTAACCCAAATTCCTCTTGATGTATATTGTTGTTGCATTATTTTGTCTCATCGTGAGTCGCCAACATTTTAATGCCAAATTATGGCCAACTGTTTAGAGAACGTCCTACAAATGTTAGAAAAACCTATTTCTAGCATCTCTTTATCTTCCTTTGTCTAATCATAATAATGTTAAGGCATCCTCAGTGAGTCAATACTTAGAGATGATGTTGCTACAAACCCTAGTGGATCAATGACCACTTTGTAGATGCATGCATGACTCGTCCCATGCAACCAAGTAGGTACTTCACTTCGTGTACTCACTTCGATATAAAGTCACAAAGCTCACTTTCAGAAACTCTCTCCTTTTTAACCCTACTATAGTCACTAGCCTTGACAGAAAAATCTTTGCAATGCAATTTGCCTTAGCAGATTCACATTTTGACTAAATTAGATCCGGATTTATGCA